CACAGCAGGTCAAGCAGCATCATAGGAGCAGAAAGGCTGACGTTTCTAGGCCCGAAACGTCAGCCTTTCTGCTCCTATGATGCTGCTTAGCCTGCTGTGTTCATCCAGCTCTGCACCTTGTTGTCAAGGAACTAAAGGTGCTGTGGGAAGAGGATAGTGGTGGAGGGAGGTGAGGAAACAATCAATAACTATCACCGGACCAAAAAAAAAAGAGAAACTAATGGCACAGAAGACTGATAAGTTCCTGACTCATTCTGGGATTTTAAAGGAAGAAACTAAAGAGATAGTGGTCACACTGGCAGTAATCTTCCAGAAATCCTTAGATTCTGTCAAACTCCCATAAGAAAGAAAATTGGCAAATTAACATTTTTATTTAAAAAGAGGAGACATAAATTTGATAACTATAGGGCAGTCAGTTTAACATCTGTTATTGGAATGATGTTAGAGTTTATTTATAAAGGCACAGTGGTTAGCACTGCTGCCTCACAGCACCAGGGACCCAGGCTTGATTACAGACTTAGCTAATTCTGTGTGGAGTTTGCACATTCTGCCTGCATCCGTGTGGGTTTTTGTCGGGTGCTCCAGTTCCTCCAACAGTCCAAAGATGTGCACATAGCCCACGCAACATTGTCTTGTAGCGTCCAGCAACGTACAGGCTAGGTGGATTAACGATGTAAATACATGGTTTTGGGGCTAGGGTGGGGATTGGGAGTGTGGGTGGGATGCTCTTCTGCGTGTTGGTGTAGATTCGATAGGCCGAATACTTAGATGGTAGTGAGTCTTAGGTTTCTTTATCACAGACAGTAGTTGAAGTTGGGTCAGTAAGTACATTCAAGGCAAAGATAGATTTTTAATCAATAAAGGAATCAAGAGCTATGAGGAAAAGGTAGACAAATGGAACGCAGGATTATCAGATCAGCCATGATCTCAATGAATTTCCTACTTATTCTCATTCGTTTTATGGAAGGTGAAATTAGAAAGACAGCTTTGAGCCAGCAGATACACGACGGACCGAAAGGCTCTCTTTATGGTCGTGGTTTTGGAACAGCACATTCCACCCGACCGCGGCTGCAAACTCACGCTGAGGTAGAGGTGGAACAGCTGCTTATACTCACTGGAGCCACAGTTTGCGGAGCTCCCGGCTGAAGGCGGCCTTCCTGCACGACTCCCTGCGCTCGGGAATGGGAACCTGCAACCGCTGCCTCGACACTGAGTCCGGCTTCCGACCACAATCACCAGCCTGTTATACAGAGGGAATTTAATCATAACCCCCGAACAGAGAAACTTCACACCAAGTGCAAACAGCAGAAAGAATCACTCCTCACCATCATCGCTGTTACTATGGTTGCCATCTTCGTCAATAAAACGTTGAGTGTGCGCAGACGCAGAATGACACACCGGGGGCCCTGGTGTGCGCAG